CCAGGGCTATCAAGGCAAGGGGTATCAAGGCCAGGGGGATCAGGGAAGTCAGGGATATGGAAGACCCCGCTTTGACTGGAGGACGGCCATCTATCAACATTGTGACCAGCAAGGCCACACTATAAGGTTCTGTAATATAAGACTGGAAGACGAGAGAAGCGGGCTGATTTCCTCTACTATGGATGGGGATATCTACGATCAATTTGGGGAGGCCATTGACAGAAGGCTTGGAGGAGTGAGAGCTGAAGCCCACCGAAGAGCGGCAACGGGACCACCGCCCTCTGCCATATTCAGGCTATGGCAGGAAAAGGAGGAACCACCGTTTGGGGTGGAAGAAGTGGGAAGTGATGAGGAAGTGACTCAAGGGCTACGAGGAGGAAGTAAGACAGAAGAGGCCATAATCATCGAGTCAGATGACGAGGAGGAGGAGGAAAGAACGGAGCCTCCATCCGTCTTATTTGAGAAGATGAAGGACTTGCTGGATAAGATGGGGAGGTACCAACAGAAGTTGGTGGGCCTCTGTGAAGAAGTGAAACAATGGAGGTCTAACATCCCCACAGTACTCCTCTATGACTCCGGTCCGGAGTCAGCGCCTGGGCGACCCGGAGTAAATGTAGTGGGGTCGTGCCCTCAACCAGGATTAAGGGGGAGACCCCTCACTCCGCAAGCCCGGCTGGCACAGGCAGCGCGAACGAGGAATCAAGCAACGGCTAGTACCAGCCAAGAGCCTCCAAGGAGGGAACACGAACCAGGGAGAAGGAAGAAGGTTGTGGAAGTAGAGGACGGCGATGACGAAGAGGAAGAGGACGAGAGGCTGCGCAGAGAAGAGGATCAGAGAGCGGAGCAGCGGGCAAGGAAAAAGGGGATCAGGGGAGAGGCCGAACCGGTCATACAGGACGGACCGCCCAAAAAGAAGAAATATGTGGTCTGGTTGGAAGAAGGATTTCACGTAGAGAAGGTGATTGACCGGCTGCCGGAAGGGCATAATGACCTCATGACCCTGAAGGAAATCCTAGAGTCAGCCCCGCGACTCCGCTATGAACTGAAGGGGAGGTTATCACGGCGCCTGGTGCCCAATGTCCATCTGGGTACGATCCTGCCCAAGGAGGCAGAGTGGGCAGAGTCAGGTACGAAGATGGACTGGAAGTGCGTAGCCTGCTGTACGGTGGATTTGATGGTGAAGGGTTCCAAGTGCGCAGCAATGGTGGACACCGGGGCAGAAATGAACATTATTCGGGAGGCGGACGCGATCAGATTCGGGCTGGATATAGACCGTTCTGACTGCGGTATTCTGCATGGAGTTTGTTGTAAGGCCATGTTTTTCGGGACAATCTCGAATGTTCTCGTCGAGGTTGGAAAGGTGAAGGTCAGACATGTTTCTTCATAATGTCAAACGTGGACCATGGAATCCTCCTGGGGAGGTCATTCCTAAGCAGGACAGAGACCGTGATGTTCAACAAACATGATGGGACGTTGATCCTCCTCTTATGCGATCCTGCCTGCGGAAATTATGAAATAATTACTTGCCGGAATACCGGGCCAAGGAGTACAAGGAACCGGCCCAATCCAGGATCATTCACAATCGAGGAGTCGGAAGGGGAGCGCAGAAGGCTCTGGGCAGAGCCCGAAGTAAGAGAGAGGGTGGAAGCATTTTCCCTCAGCCTGTCAGATGTTGGGAAGGCCATGGACCTGGTGGCCGCGCATGAGATGGCAGATCCGGATGCCATCCAGGCCTTGAGGGAATAAGTTCTGGAATGCCCTGAGGCAAGAAGGTTGGAACTGGTATATCGGCTCCCAGGCAGTGGAGGGAACCCCGCATCAGTGCAAACACAATCCGTGAGTCGGCCTTTTTTAGGGGACGGCTCAAGCAGGGTTCCCAAAGGCGGTACAAGACGGTAGATAAGAAATGCCGCCTGGTACTCGTCCGCGTTATAGAGGACGAGGAAGCATATTACGAGAGGGAACGAGGATTGATTCGAAGGATGAGGGAAAGTGCTTTAGCAAGGCCATGTCGTATCAACGAAGGGAACGAGAAGGAGTTGATCATACGGGAGTCTGATTTTCTGCTGCCTCATGAGCGAACGCTGATGGTGGAATTAATGCAGAGGAAGCATCGCGCCTACGCATTTAGTGACGAGGAGCATGGCAGGCTGGATGTAGATAAGATACCTATGATCCGCATCCACACCGTGCCACACGAACCTTGGAACATAAGAGGGGCGCGGTATCCCAATCCTGACAAGGAGAGGAAGGTGGTGGATTATCTCGACGGCAAGATACGTACTCATGTCGCCGACTATTCAAGTGGACCGTATGCGTCCCCGTGGTTCTGCTTTATTAAGCCTAACGGGACGCTGCAGTGGGTGCTCGATTTGCAGAGATTGGATGCAGTGGCCGTGCGAGATGCTGGAGGACTGCCGAATGCAGATGCGCTGTCGGAATCCTGTGCTGGAAGGCCTATAATTTCGCTTATAGACCTTTACTCAGGATACGACCAGTTCCCAGTCTACCTGCCGGATAGGCCGGTGACAGTTGTGCACACGCCGCGAGGATTAGTCCACATGAACGTGGCCCCACAAGGGTGGACSAACGCAGTAGCAATGGTCCAACGGGCCATGATTCGGGCCATGTAGTCAGTCAGCCCCCATATCACACAGCCATACATTGACGATTTGGCAGTGAAGGGGCCGGCGAYGAAAGAGAGCGACGAAGTCTCAYCARGGGTAAGGCGCTTTGTCTGGAAGCACATTCAGGACCTCGAAAAGGTCCTGAGCCTGCTCGAAGAGCATAACCTCACGGCAAGCGGGGCCAAATCCAGACACTGCATGAGGGAAGCGACTACCTTGGGGATAGTCTGCAATGAGAAGGGTCGAAGGCCGGATGTGAAGAAGACGGACAAGATTACTGAGTGGCCAGTTCCGTTCCACTCAATAACTGATGTCAGGAGCTTCCTTGTTACGTGTGGATTTTGGAGGGCCTTCGTCAAGAACTTTGCCGCTAAGACTGAACACCTTAGGAAGTTAGTCCGTCAGGATCAGGAATGGGTATGGGGTGAGGAACAAGAAAGGCTGGTAGCAAAAATGAAGGAGGAATTTCGAGAAGGAGGGTTGGTGTTAGGAGCGTCAGATTATGACGCCACAGAGACGTGACCCTTTATTGTCGAGACGGATGCGGGACCGACTGCCTTAGGGGGAGTTCTAATTCAGGCAGACATGGAAGGGAAGGAAAGACCCTTGCGATTTGAGAGTCGGACTCTCTGTACGACGGAGAGGAACTACTCTCAGTTCAAGAGGGAGACCCTTGCTGTCCTCCATTGTCTGCGAATCTTCCAGAATTATATCTTTGGCAGGAGGTTTATTTTGAGAGTGGATTCGACCGCCCTGGCCTACTCTCTAAGGAATTACGTTCCATCGGATCCGACGATTGCCAGATGGCTGACGTACATCTGGATGTTCAATTTCGAATTGGAACGGATTCCTGGTAGTAAGTTCGGGCAGACGGGCTGAGTCGGATCAACTGGGATAAGCAGGAAGGGGAGGCGGTGGAGAATACACCCCTAGTTCATGGATTTCTGGATCAGGAAGAAGATGTTTGCCTCCATATCAATAAGTGGTCGCCGCGAGTGCCCAGCTGTGTAGGCTATCCTATTTGGCGAGCGGCGAGCGGATATTAAAGGAGGACCGAGCTGGTCCTCAAACCCTTTAAAGAAGAGGATCCCTGGGGCGGTAAGGATGTTTAGTGCATGATGGAATTAGCGCTGGCCAGCTCGCACAGCCTGGTGGAGGATATGAGGACGATTGAGGAAGGACCTGGCCAGGTAGAACGGCATGAGGACCTGATGGGAGAAATGTATCTCCTCGTCAATACGTTATTGCAGGAAAGCCTAGACCAGTCAGGCTCGTTGAACCCGACAGGGAATGTGGACGAAATACCCGAGAGACAGGACGACGAGTTCGAAGAAGGGGAAATTAAGGAGGTTTTTGGTGCAGAGGAGTACGACGGGATCTACCTAGAGCTGGGTCTTCTGTCATGTGAAATGCGGCTAAGAGATACGAGCGATAGGGCTCAAAGGATGCTGCAACGCTACTTAGTGCGAGACGGTCACCTTTTCGTAAGAAGGGAAGTGGGGAATCCCAGGAGGGTCGTCTGCGGTAGGAATCGTCAGATCAACGTCGTAGCAGCACTACACGATGGCATTGCAGGAGGGCATCGAGGGGTACAAGCCACGTATGCCAAGATAAGTGAGCTGTATTACTGAGATGGAATGATGGACATGGTCGGAAAATTTTGTCGATCTTGCGTACCCTGCCAGAAGAGATCCCGTTTAAGGCAAGGAGAGCCGCTGCATTTAAGGTTAGAGCGCGAGGTAGGGGCCGTAGTGCATCTCGATCTGCTTTTTATGCCACTTGGGGATCAGGGTTATAACTATATCTTCGATGCGCGCGATAACATGTCTGGGTTCGTAGACGGGCGAGCTATTCGCACAAAGACGGGGTCAGTCCTGGTGAGCTGCATCGAGGAGTACTACCTGCGTTTTCCTTTCGTCAGGGAATTCGTAATGGACAGGGGATCAGAGTTTACCTGCCAGGAGGTGCAAGAACTGTTAGCAAGATATGGTGTGGCAGCCAACTACACCACGACCGCGCGCCCCCAGGCAAATGCTCCCGTAGAGAGAGGACATAGTACCATTACGAACCTCCTGGCGAAATGGACCGAAGGTAGGCCTAATCAATGGCCAAGATACCTAAGGGCGGTTTTCTTTGTCGAGAATATTACAGTAAAGAGATCCACCAAGTACGCACCTGCGACGCTGTGGTACGGAAGGCATGCCACCTTCCCTATCGAAAGCTTTTTGAAGACGTGGAGGCGCCGGGATCTGTAAGTCAACCTGTCATTTGAAGAGTTGCTCGATATTCGGGCGTGGCAGGTCGGGGCGATAGAAGAAAGGATCCAGGAGGCATCTGATCAGGTGGCGAGAAGCCGTATGGATGATAAGGCCCGATGGGATCAGTCTGCGCGAGTGAGGAAAGTACCCTTGGCAGTCGGGGATGTCCTGCTTCTCTACGATACGTCGCTGAAGAAGCAGTGGTCCAAGAAACTCGATAAGAGATGGTTAGGTCCCTACCGAATTGCACGGGTCGGAGACTTCGGAGCGTACCAGATCGAGTAGTTAAATGAGACTGAGTGGAAGGATTGGGTATCTGGAACGCGACTGAAGAAATTCGTGGCGAGAGAAGAGGTAAGAGAGATGACCTGACCGCCCCTARAAYAGAAGTAAYAGGGTGTGTAGGTTAGGAAGGATGCATGCTGCATAAGTGTGGTCTGGTCTGAGCTTGCTCTGATTATCACCTGCTTGCTTACCCCAACGTGTGCCTGTTGTCTCCTTCGCCTGTTGTGCAGGTCTGACTTTACGAAGACAGCCATGCCAAGAGGAGGGAAGGGGACACGGTCGCCTCAAAGGCCGTTGGGCGCATCAGGAGGATATGAGCGGCATGGGCCTCGCCAACGAGAGAGTACTCCAGTCTACAATGATGGGGACATCGAGCTATTCCTGGACAGTTTCTCGGAGCATGCGAGGCGTATGGGCTGGACCGTCACTCAGGCGATTGAGAGATTGAGGGGAGCAGGTAAGTTCGAAAAGCCCATTGCCAGGATTCGTAGGGAGGCGACGACGAGGCAGGAGGTGGAGATAAGGATGGAGGAGATGCGACCCTCGCCTGTGGGACCTGAAGGTAGGCCGATCCGCCTGGAGATTGGAAATGCGTCGGACTTCATCCCCGCGTTTGAGTGGTTCATGCAAGAGCAGGGCATACAGAGAGATGATTGGATGCAGACACTACCACTCTGGACCAGGAAGGCGGAAAGGCCACTGGCTATGCAGATCAGGGACATGGCACGAGAGTGCGAAAGTTGCAGGGCACATTTGAGAGAGGCCTTTCGATGGCCAGAGCTCCCTCAGCCCAGAGTCGAGAGGCGGCAGAGGAGTCAGAGGCCGAGGGACCCTGAGCCCTTGGAGGCGAGACCATCTCGAGGAGGACGGAAGGCCCTAGCCAGGAGAGAGCAGGAGCCAGAGGATGAGGAGCGAGGGGCATACTCTGAGTGTGGGTTGGGGCCAGTGGAGTTCCATCGTTTTACTGAGGGTGGATTGAGGAGGTCGCCAGCACACACACAGGAGGAGCCACCAGCGTCAGAGGGGCCCTTGAGGGAATTGGGGATGCATTTAGATATTTCTCGGTGGAGGGCGTCGCTTCAGGGTGAGGGGCATGGAGAGCAGGCAAAGGAGGTGCCACGAGAGGAGGTACCACAGGAATAGGTCCGGGGTACTCAGCGAGAGAGAGGGCTGGGCGATGAGGGGAGACGTGCAGGGAAGGAAGTGATAGAGGTTGGAGAGGACACGCCCCCACAGATGCCAGCAGTGGTTTGAGACTCGGGGATGCACCACGGAGCACCCGGCAGGCAAGTGAGGGGTTGCAGAGAGAGGAGACCTCTTTACCTTCGTAAGAAAAGACTCCTTCGCCAAAAGGGAGGGCAGAAAGGAGGAGAGAGAGGGCAGCTGTAAGGAGAGAAGCTTTGATCCTGATTGATAGGCACCTAGTAGCTCATGCCCTGGAGCACCCAGACCTGGAGGAGCCAGCACCTGCAAAGCCACGCCATGAGTCATGCCAGCCCGAGAAGGTGATGGAAGCAGAAATCCCAAGGAGGGTCGACCTCCGCACGAGGGAAAGGGTTTCAGCTGGAGAGACGGCCGAAGAAAAGAGGGCAAGACGAACCTGGCGGATAGATGAGATATGGTACGAGAGGCAGAGGTTGGAGGCAGCGGGGGAGCTCCCGGAGCAGCAGCAGGAGAGGCAGAGATCGGAGGCAGCAGGAGCACTCCCGGGTCAGCTGCCCAGCGCGCCAGCCAGGGCCCACGGAAATTCTTGAAATGTGGAGAGACTTCTGGGAGCAGAGAGGAGAGGAGCTTCCATCGCCAGTCAGAGCCGGGTTTGGGGTGGCCAGGAAGGCGGAAGAAAGGTTAGATCGTAAAATCAAGTTCCTGGCCAAGATCACTTTTGACCGGCACTTGTTATTGGAGGGCGATCTGGCGAGGAAGAAAATGAAGGAAGCCAGCCATGGAGTACGTCTGGAGGCTATAGAGGTGGAAATTCAGGAACTTAGGGCTTTGCTGGCCAGCCAGGCAGCTATCATTGAGAGCCTGAGGCAGCAAACCCAGGGAAAGGTGGACAGACCAGAGAGCAGCCGGCAGGGAGAGCAGAGGCAGCAAGGACAGGGATTGCCAGGACAGCCATCTGCGACAGAGCCTCGCCAGGAGCCGCCTATGGGGAGAGTTATCCTGGAGACAGAGGAGGCGAGAGCCCAGAGACAGACAACTGACAACTACCCTTAGAATACATGTCAGATCTGTCTCTCAAAGGCCAGGGCGTAGGCCGCCTAAATATGTACATGCCTCATCTAAACCACCCTGACCCTCAAAACCCTAACTCAGTAGAAACACTAGAGTTCAGATCTAGATTAACAGTAATCATCAAAATGTCTTCTAAGTCTAAGAGAGTATCACACAGAACCTAAGTTGATGCCTCACAAAATGCTCGCTCGCTTATATAGACAAAGTCGACCCTACCTCCTAAACTCCTCCTAGTTTTGCCTATATAATTGAGCCCTAAGTCCATCTGCGGACTTCTCTACTATCCTACCCTGTCTATCATATATTTTACCCCCTACCTCTGAGATCTTCCCTGCTGCCTTATCCTCAAGAAACTCGAGACAGTCCAAAGCATGATGCGCGTTCCTCTTGCAGTAAAAACATAGTTGATCAACTTTCCTCTTGAACTTCTTCTTCYTGGGCTGAGGAGGTGGTGATGAAGGAAATCCTGCCAAGGTACTGATAACCCCCTGCTGCTCTGCTTGAGGAGCTACGGTACCAATGACTTCCTGCCGCTCTGTCCCCGGAACTGGTCCACCAGACCCAGATCCAGTAGCCCAAAACCCTACTCTGTCTCTCAAATCCTCTGTCGCTGAAACGAACTCGGGCGTGTCCAACCTTTGAGGCCTCCTCTCGAGTGCCGCCCCTGGCACTGCCGTGGGCTGCTCCTCAATCTCCTCTGAAAACAAACTCACCTCCTCCTGCATAGTATGCACTGCCTCAGAGTGTATATTATGATGAGGTTTCCTTCAGGGCACATTCTTATATGTGACGATCACTTGTCTTTCTCACATGTGTGGTTGTACTCTGATGTATGATGAGTTTGTGTGGACAATGTGTGAAAAACCTTTTATGTATCTTGGGTATGTGAATATGATTGTAAGTAAGACTGTCTACTCCTCGGTATACTTGTGCGACCTGCCCACGGCAGCTGATAAGGCAGAGTATAAGGGGAGGAAGCGCAGTCCGTCTGTGAAAGTTATCTAAGTTGTGATGAGGACCCATAAGATTGTCTCTTATCGATGTTCTGTTTTATGATGGGACCCCCTTAGATTTTGAAAAAGGGAGGGGATGTTTCGTGATGTTTTGTGATGTAACAAAACCCCTCGTGACTTTGAGAGAGGGGGTGTTTGATTTATAATGAGACCCTCGTAATTTCTGGAAGAGGGAATATATTGCTTTATGGCGAGATCCCTCGCGATTTTTGGAAGAGGGGGTGCTTTGTTTATGAAGAGAGTCCCTTTTGGATTGTTGGAAAAGGGGAGTGGTTTTTGGTTGGAAGACTCATCCTCAGAAGTGAGTAAATTGATTCATGGCATGACGAGTTATTCGATGGGTGATAAAGTCTGACAGAAAGGGGCCACTTTTTGTTTGAAATGTTTGAGAAAGTCGCAATGAGTACAGGGCGAGAGATGTCTCAGGGTGGGTGGCTGCTGGCTCTGATCAAGTCAGGGGTCACGGCCTGGTGGATTTAGCGGTGATTTTGYTTRTAAGCGTRCRAMGGAKGCCATRCCTATTGAAGGAGGGCTGGTAAATGCCTTCGGACCCCTGCGTATCGCGCAGTGGGCCTGTGATTTTGTTTTGACGCACCCGTTTAACCACTGGTGCTAATTCTGAGACATATTGAAGAAAGGCCAAGCTAACGGAAAAGAAGTTAGTACCTCTGGGGCGTAACCCCATTGGATGGCTGCTAACCAGCGCAACCAAGTTGCTGGACCGCGGGGTAAGAGTTTAAGGGGAGTTACCCGCCCCAGGGAAATTACTCTGTGGGATAGTGAAGGTTGAGATTTTGGGAGGTCCTGATTGAGTGTCTATCAGGAGAAACCCTATCGTTGCGTAACCAACGAGGGTACTGTCGTTAAATAACAATGCGGTAGGCCGTAGTCCTGGTCCGATCAACCAGGCTATGGTGGGCACTCGAGTTAAGGCCCGCGTCCCTAGTTTTTGCCAGGACTAGGGACACCCATCCAGAAGCCGAAGGTTATCTAGGACCGGGGACATGACGATTGGGAAGGTCTTTGGAACTTATGCTGCCAGTGTCCTAATTTTTGGACGGTGTGAGGCCCAAGTTAGAAACCTGGCAGCATATAGTTGTGGAGGCATGGTTTGATGGAGGCCTCTACCCTGTGTTTGTGGGCTAATCGGATTGGCTCACCTCTTTCGTCAGCATTTAGAGTGTGAATGAATTTATAGCTTTCAGATTTGGCGAAGCGACGGGGACGTCGCTTAATATGTTTCGGTAAGGCTGTCGGTGCGAATACCCTTACAAGGGTATCCGCCCTGGTTTTTGCAAGTAACAGAATTTTTTTTGGCTTAAAGTTTAAGTATACCGCGCTAAGCGCGACTGCGTTTGTAATTGTGTTGACTAGGTGGTTGACCACAATAGCGAGTGTGTGAGCGCGCAGGTTTAAGGCGCCCGTGATTCTTTTCTGTTGTTGATCGTAAGAGTCGGCTCGGACCTCGGTCGTTTTGCTTAGGTGATATTAAATATTATTTCATTTTTGATTAAACCAGGATTTATAAATATTTTTTTTCGGTCTAGTACGACCGACGGTTCAGTGAGCATATACGGACATGCGGTGGATCCAGATGATGGGACCTGATGGATACAGCCAAACATGGACAGCCGCGGCACGGACTTTCGATGGCCGCGCGCGTTGGCATAGGCTGAGGAGTGGCACAGACCGCTTTCGCGACCCGGGACAACCGCGCTGTACCACTTTTTTTAGGATTCTGTTACTGCCGGTACCAGGCTTGGGCTTAGCCCTATAGGTTATGACATTGGGCTGACACTATGGAGGTTCGGGGATCGAGCTCGGTAGGGCATCGGCGCAGCAACTACAGCGAAGCATCGCGGAAGGAACCGGTGGGGTGGAGGGCCGCCAGGGCTATCCCCTTCGGTTTTGTTTACAGGGGCCGCGGCAGGCCTGATCCGCGGGACTGGCGTGGCACCAACCCCGCTGTCCCCCAGCTCTATTTTTTTTATTTTTATTCTACTTCTCTTTTCCTGTTTTATTTATCAAGCCCCGTTCAAGGACGCGAGACCGCGATGGAATCATGTGGGGGTGTGTTGTATTCGCGGGATTGCCTGTTGTGCAATTACAAATTGTTTTCG